ATTGGGCAGGGCTGTTAAATCTAACTAGGAAGGGCACCTCATTAATTGGACTCAAGATCTGCTAGTCACTTCTCCTTTGAAGATGAGCTGAAAACTGGAGTCATCCCTCAGACAGGAAACAGGAACTCGGTGGACACCTCAAATGGGAGGTCACAAGAGAGAGAGATGATGAAAGGTAGATCACATGCCTCTGGCAATCCAAGGCCCAGGTGTGATGGAGGAACAGTAGGAAAAGTAAAACTTCAGAAAAGAGAAGAAATCTAGAGATCTATGCCTTGGAGAAGAGGGGCTTCCCAGGCCCTCAGCCAGAGAGAGCTCCAGTGGAGGGATCACCAGCCGAGAAGCTGGCCTCTAGCTGAGGCTGGCAAATCAGGGTGAACAGTTGGTGTTCTACATGCATTTCCCCGCCCCCATCCATTTGTAGACTTCTGGTTTTGTTTCCCCTTCTGGCCCTCCCACATGCTCTTTCGAGCAGGTTAGGTGATCAGGGAATTGTCTGCGCTCTGTGTGTCTGAGTACTGGCTTAGCTAGTGGAGCTGGGGCAGCAAGTAGGTAGGAGACATTGCTACAGAAGTGTAGGACACCGAAGTGCCAGGGCTATTCGTTCTCTCAAGGAATGTGTGCTCTGTGTCTCATTCCTAGAATACCTAGGGCTAGGTACACAGAAAGCATCCTGAAAGGATTTATTGGACTGAATCATGTACACATCTAACTGCCACATCCTGTACCAGCCAAGAACCCCCCCAGGCCTGGGAAGGTGGTCTTGGACCTCTCCTCCACTGCCTGCTCTTACTTGGTCAGCAATGACCGTCCGGTGCTGGTACATTCCAGGATTAAGCTGCCAGCGACAAAACTGGCCTCTCCAGCCTCGGGTGATAGTGCCTCCCCCGATGCCTCCCAAAGGACAACCTAGAGAGAGAATCAGGATCATTACTGGGGTACTGGGGATTAGAAAGCGAGCCAATTTCTCACTTTCTAGACTATAAGGAAGGGTTCCTCTACAAACCATGGGAATATGAAATCAACACACTGTATCCTTTAACTTATACAGTATATCAATTATATCAATAAAGCTAGGGGGTGGGGGAAACCCAAAAGGATAGGGGCAGTGGAGCTGGGCCCTCGCTGAGCAGGGCAGAGCTGGGGTGAGGCTCACCATAGATCTGTCTCAGGGGTACAGAGTTCATGAGGTCGATGAAAGGTTTCTTTTTCTCCACCTGAGTCTTCTGGTACCACCACTGCAAGTACCTAAGGAGCAAGACGCGGTATGAATGAAAGAGGCTGTGGGTGGTGCCTCCTGGGCTGCAGTCACCTACCCCTTTCTGGATATCCAGCTGTGATTTCCAATTAAAGGTCCCAGGGACCCAATGCCTTTGCTTCCAGATCTCTCCTTCTCTCAACTTCTCTACAGTTCAAGGTCCCCGTATCTTTCCAATCATCCCAGCTCACAGTGTGGGCCTGTTTTTGTCCTCTCTGTTCTCCTCAGGAGCTTTCTGACCTTTCCTCACCTCTAGTGCCACGACCACTGCTTTAGCTTACCCCAGGAGCTCTTGTCTGAGGTGTTGAAAGGGTGAGTTATGGTTTCCTTACCTACAATACTGCCCCACCCCACTTCCAGGCATAGGCCCCTGGATAATTTTCTTCTTTTTAAAATGATTATTTTTCTTCCTGATTATGACAGGTGAAAATTTGTAGAATACCACAGGTGGGAGGGGGAAAATGCTACCCATAGACAACCAGTGTTTATATTTTGGGGTATTTCCTTTTATTTATTTTTTTTAATTCAGGATTAAAGCTGTAATCTCTGTGATTCTACTCTCTTATAATAACCCAGGAAAGCCCTCAAAAAATCCCAACATTTTCCTGGGCTTGTCACAGCCATATGTCCCATAAGCAAATGATTCTGGTTGGGATTCAAGGCTCTGACATCTGTCCTAGACCATCTTCTAGTCTTACTTTCTACAAATTCCCATTCAGGGTGGGTCCTCACTAAGCAACCCCTGCCCTGCGAGACTCTCTCCCAATTCGGCCCCTCCTCCCTACCCAGCCATTTTATACCCATTATTCAAGCACAACACTTGTCACCATGTATTTGTATAAGGAACCCTTCTGAGCCTCAATTTCCTCATCTGCAAAATGGGGGGATACTGCCTGCCCTACCTACCTACCTACAGACCTCATGGGATGGTTTCCTAATAGATAGGAAAGCCATAAATTGGCACACCTGTGTCAGCTATGCCCATTACTTGTACACACACTATCTCAATTCCCAATCAGATGCTTCTTGTTATTTCAGTGTTCCTCATGGGAGCCTGACATAGTTTTCAGTTTCTTGGGGAAAGGGACAGTGACAAAGACTAGTTGATTGTTATCCATAGCTTCAAGCGCATGGCACGGCACATGGTCTATAGTCAATAAATAATTTGCTGAATTTACTATGAATGTACAAAGTGCGGCGTAAGAGAGATGAACACAGGAGCAAGGGGAGGAGAAATGTGCTTAAAGAATAGAGAGGGTACCTTCTGGGGGTAGGAGAAAAGGGAGGGAAGACAAGGATTAGGTGATGGGAAGGCAGAAGATCCTCTCTGCTCGTTTAAAGGAAACTGGACTTTGAAACTAGAGGCCAGAAAGGATTGGCAAAGGGAAAGAGAGTGCAATGGGGATTAGGGCAGCGAGGGAGAAATGCATGATACGAGGATAGGCAGAACAAAGGAGTATCTCGCATAGAACTGGCACTCAATATTTATTGAATGAATGGACTCCGGAAGAGAGAGAGTTCTTACCACACTGAGGCCCAGAGAACTCTGTCTTGCTGGAGCTCCTGGTTAGAGTACCCTCAGTTCGGTTCTCTTAGGGTCTGCCTTTCTCCCACTCCCTTAATTTAGCAGCTGGCCATTCTTGACCTATTTGGCTGTCTCCATAATTTCAGCCCCAGCTTAAGAATTATCATTCATAATTCTCTCACCCCTGCGTTTTCCTCGAAGACCTCATCCCATTCCAAAAGCCCTGTGTCAGTGGCCCCCACCCTACCCTGGTATGGGAAGCCAAGGTCCAGGGGGCTGAGTACAGCTTCAGGCTTCTATGACTCAGCTCATACATAGGGACAGAGGGACTAGGATACCCACATGTTCTTGACCTCAGTGCCCCCAGCACATGCACCCCAATGTGCTTCTCTCAGCACTCTAGCCCTAGATCCTATTTTGACCCAAAGGCTTTTGGGGTCAAGGTGGGGCTGGGTCAGTTTTAGAAGCAGCCTGGAGGGATGATTGTTCTCTGGTACAGGCCACCCACAGGTACTAGCAAACTGCCTAGGGCTGGGGTTAGGTAAATGGACCCCCGTACCCCCAGCCCCATAGCCCTGACTGGGAAAGGTAAGGATCCTTTTAGAGGCCGTCAAGGCTGGGTTTCCCAACTTTTATGCCTCCCTTCCTGGCTCTGTGTTTACTGTGTGGATTGATTCAGGATGACATCAGGGTGATGCTTTTTGTCCTCACATCCATCTGTTCCTTGTTAATAGGTTTCGGCTTCTCATCACTAGTTTTTGAACTCAATGGAGATCTTGAGGGACCTTGAGGAGTTCTACAGCCCGGAATAAGCTCTTTGGGTGTCTGCAATCCTTGGGCAGGGAGTGCGGGAGAGGTGGGTACTAGGGCAGGCTCTGGAAGACTATTACTAAGAGCTCTGGAGACACCTAGAGCAGCGCCTCTACGATCAGAGGTCTTCTCTGCTTTTTAAATCAGGGCCCGACTCTCTCAGAGGAGAGTGAAGAACATCTCTCATTGTCCTCTTCTTAGTGTTGAGAGAGCAGGCAGGCTCTCACCCACTCCCTGGAACTAAAGCTTGATGGGTGTTGGCCTATAATGTGATGTACCTAAATGAGGTACTGAGAATACTCCAGCTGCTCAGGGGAATCTGAGAACCACTACCTCCCAAATAAAACATAGTGTCAGTACCATTTCCTATCCTGCCACAAAATATAGCTAACCCCAAGGAGTTGTCTTTGGCAAAGAGGGAGCATGTGAGAGGGATACTAAATGGCAAAGGCCTACTGCAGGCCTAGATGTTTCTGCTTTTTCCAGCTAAAAAGACAAGTTACCGGGAGTAAAGGGGTGCAAAAAGGTGTGACCTGGTCTAACACTCCAAAATCAAGGCTTAGAATATGTTGGGGAAAGGGGCCACTAGATTGGGACAAGGCACATACCTGCTTTTTCCACTTCTGCTGGACGTCCTGTGTGGGATCAAAGTGAAGCCTATGGTACTCTAGGCAATGGGATCTACTCACCTCAAGCCCATGCCCAGATGCTTTATCAGGTTGCTTAGGGAGATGTTATTGGCATTAAAGGGTTTCCTCTTCTCTGAAAACTCATGAGCCAAGCAGATGCGCCAGCCAAAGGAAGGCACCTGGTAGCCCTTAGCTTTACCCTCGTAGGAAGCCATCAGCTGCCCAGAGTACTCCGTATTGCTGTAGCCCAACTCATTTGGGGGTCGACTGTCCTCAGGGCTCTCGCAGTCAGTAACCTGCACAGCCTCAGTGCCTCCAGCATCTTCAGGGCAATAAACCTGTGGATCCCCTTTGGCACAGCTGGTCTGCTCCGAGGCTGGGACTCCGGTTCCCATGTTTCCTGGATCCTGGGTCCCCACGACCTCGATGGCCCCAGGTCTCGAGCTTCCTGGTACAAAGTATCTCTCCAGCCAAGTCCAGATGCGGATGCCGATTGTTGTTAGGTGCCGTCCTGGAGGGCCGGGCGCTGGCGAAAGCTGAGGTGAGCAGGTGTCTCTGTGGACCCCGGGAGCTGTTGTTGCAGCTGCGGCAGAGGCGACAGCAATGAAGCCGCCTTGGGCTCCCTCTTGGTCTTCTCTCTGGGTCCTGGGCGGGAAGGGTCGGGCCTCGTAGTCATTGGGCCGCGATGATTAGCTTGCCCGGCCGAAGGGCGACTACTGGGCCGGCGGAGAGGGGAGGAGCCCGGGGGGCCGGGCCGTAAGGCACCGCCCCCGGGACCGGCCTGGGCGCTCGCGGCAGCCTCAGCCGCGTCCCCCGGCTGCGGCACCAGGTCCCCCAGGGTTGGGCGCCGGGTCCCGCAGGCCGGTGTCTGGGGCAGCGCCCGCGCCCCGGTGCCAGGCCGTGGGAAGGTGACCCTAGGCGGCAGGATTCTAGCCCCTTCCGGTCTGGCCAGCCGGGCGCTTCCGGCCGGAAGGGGCTTCGTCAGGGGAGGGGATTGAAGGGAAGTCCCGCCTCTGCTGCGGAGGCCACCGAGCTCTGGGCCAAGTCCGGCGGGGGCGGACAGGTGAGGACCTAGGTGTGCCGGGACCACCAGGCTCCACCCTGCGAAGTTCGCGGGCTAGGGACGGGAGGTGACTGGTGTCCGTGGCCTTGGTCTGGGACGTGGAACCTCGAGGGTATGTGGGGGCAGAGGCCGGACTGGGGGTTCAGGGGTGTAGGGGACTAATCGGCACTGAGAAGAGCGGGAGTCTGGGACCCAGAGCGACGCCCTCCCCTAGGCAGGTTTGAGCCAGCTGGGCCCCACACCGAACCTCCCATACGCCCCCCTGCCCCCAGATCCTGGCGCTTCTCTCTGACACCGTGGTGCGGACCGCCGGTCTTTTTGGTCCACACCCCCAGGCTCCACGCAGACACCCTTCCCTGCCATGGTACTGACTTCTGACCCTCTTTGTTTTCTTCTAGGTCGAGTTCCAGAGCTGCCATGATTGAAGTGGTAGCAGAGCTGAGCCGAGGTCCTGTGTTTCTGGCGGGGGAGGCGCTGGAGTGTGTGGTGACTGTCACCAACCCTCTGCCCCCCACGGCCACTTCTGCATCCAGGTGGGAATGCTGGTTCTAAAGAAGGTGGTCCTTCGGGGAGGAAGCCTGGTACCTGTAGTGCTAAGCCAGAGCTCAAGTTGTCCTGTAGCTACACCCACCACCTTCCTGCTCATTGTGTTGTCATTGTAGGAAAGGGCTGTTTAACAGATGTGGTTGACATCTGTTAACCGTACAGGCTCCTTTCCTCCCTCCTCCCCCATTTCCCTTTTTACCCACAGTATACTTATCTTAGTTTAACCATCTCTTTTTATTGAATTTATTGGGATGGCATTGGTTAATTAAATCATAGAGGTTTCAAGTGTACAACACTGTACTAGATCATCTGTATATTGCATTGTGTATGTTCACTACCCAACATCAAGTCTCCTTCTGTCACCATTTATCCCCCGTTTACCCTTTCCTACCTTCCCCTGCCCTTTTTCCCTCTGGTGATAATGATTTGTGTGGTGTGTGTGTGTGTGTGTGTGTGTGTGCGCGCGTGTGTTGGGGGGGTGGGGTTCTGGATTTCTCCATCCTTGAGACAGCCACCTAACATGTTGGCTTCTAGACACGTGGTAGGGAGTTTGGAAGAGCACTGATGAGGTCAGGGACTCTCCTCTGATGCCATCTTCCTTCCATAGCGAGGCTCTGGCCTGGGCCAGTGCCCAAATCCACTGCCAGTTTCATGCCAGTGAGACCCGAGTAGCACTGCCTCCCCCAGACTCCAATCAGCCAGATGTTCAGCCTGAGAGCCAGACTGTCTTTCTACCACACCGAGGTTAGAGATGGGACATTTGCCTTTGGTGGGAATGGAATACTGTGACGGAATGGTGAAACTTTTACATTGTTTGGTGGGTCATTATAGTCCCTGTGACCTGGGGATATGAGAGAATGTAACTGTTGCATTGGGGTTGTAAGACTGTTGCTATTTCACAAGAAAAGAGGGGTAATTTACTGTAGGCTGCGTTTGTCATCAGGGCTCACTGCCCCCACTTGCTGTGCTACTCTCTTCTAGGGCTGGATAACGGGGTCATTAAACTGCAGTCTTTATCATTTTTAGGTGAGAGGGGTCAGTGTATCCTTTCCACGCCACCAAAAATCCTATTCTGTGACCTGAGGCTAGACCCTGGGGAGTCCAAATCATGTGAGTGACTATCTCCCACCCTTGTAATATTCCTGGAGGGAGGCCTTCCCTGGCTGCCTCTGGCGGCCCTGACTACCACTTCCCAACCAGACTCCTACAGTGAAGTGCTGCCCATAGAGGGACCACCCTCCTTTCGAGGTCAGTCAGTCAAGTATGTCTACAAACTGACCATTGGCTGCCAGCGTGTCAACTCACCCATCACTTTACTCAGGGTCCCTCTGAGGGTTCTTGTGCTGACTGGTAAGTAAGGGTTTCTGGAGGGAAGGGCTAGGGAAGAGTCTCGCCAAAGCAAAAATGATCTTCAGAGACCCTGTGAGAGGGGGCTAGAGGGAAGCTTCCTGATCTTAGTGAAGGTGCAAGGGAGCTGTGGAGGGGAGGGTTCTGGAGATAGGTTGAGATGTATATGTCAGCCATGGCTTCCCTTACCTTCAGCCTTCTCAGGCTGGAGTCTAAAACCTAATCTCATATCTCTGTTCCTTCCCAACACTGCTTCTCTACTTATTCTCTCCCTAGGACTTCAGGATGTCCGGTTTCCCCAGGATGAGGCTGTAGCCCCATCCAGTCCATTCCTAGAGGAGGATGAAGGCGGGAAGAAGGATTCGTGGCTAGCTGAGCTGGCTGGGGAGCGCCTCATGGCCGCCACATCCTGCCGCAGCCTCCGTGAGAATCCTTTCAGAATTGTCCCACTCCATCCTCTTGTCACAGTATTCCTTTCTCAGAGGCAGGTTCTCTTAAGTGCCACATACTTCTGAGGATCCACTGATATCTCACCCCAGAATATAAAGAAAAGCCCCACCTTTTAGACCCTGGCTCCCAGCCCTAGACATTCTTCAGTGTGGACGCTAGGTTTACAGTATCTCATTTTCCCCAGATCTATACAATATCAGTGATGGCCGAGGAAAAGTTGGGACATTCGGCATCTTCAAATCTGTATATAGACTTGGCGAGGACGTGGTGGGGACCTTAAACTTAGGGGAAGGAACTGTTGCTTGTTTGCAGGTGAGCAGGGAGGGGGCTCTTGGGATGTTGGGCCGGAAGGGCCAGGGTGGCAGAAGGGCCTGCATAATGAGGGATGGTATGTAGAATTGGATAGTGGGGTTACTCAGTCTCGTTCTTTGGTAAAGCAGGTTGAGGTTGGGCTGCCTTCTCACTTAGAGTCAGCGCTTCCCAATGCCTGCTAGCACACACTTTTCTTGCTCCCAGTTTTCAGTAAGCTTACAGACCGAGGAGCGTGTACAGCCTGAGTACCAGCGGCGCCGAGGGGCAGGGGGTGCCCCCTCTGTGTCCCATGTGACTCATGCCCGACACCAGGAGTCCTGCCTACATACAACCAGAACCAGCTTCTCCCTCCCCATCCCTCTCAGCTCCACCCCAGGCTTCTGCACAGCCATCGGTAAGACTTTGACAACTACTGGTGGTGGTGGGTGGGGGTGGGGCTGGGGGAGGAGTAAAACACTGTACTTAGGTAGAGTGTAATCGATCCTGATTCCTAACACGCAGACATACCCACATCCAGCCTCTGACCCTCAAGACTTTCTCAGATCTTCAACCTGTTTCATAGATGGACTGGTTCTTAAACTCCTTAAACAGCTTTGCAGATTTCCTTCCCTACCCCTTCCCACTGGGACCCTGTGATTCACTGATCTCTGATTCCCCCGCACCTTTATCTCAGGCTATTATAAGTCCTGACTGTCTCACACTTGGGTTATTATGTTCTTGACACTGCCATTCTTACTGTCACTTTTCTGCTTAATGCACTAGATTTCTCCAGAGAAACCCTTGATCCTAGTTCCCAGTCCTGAGACTTATCTGCCTCTTCCCAAATACAGGTTTCTGCTCATTTGCTAAACACATCCTGTCAGGCTTTAATTCTGGCTTCTAATGCTTCTGCCTGTCTTTTTTCCCCCCCCTCAGTGTCCCTAAAGTGGCGACTGCATTTTGAATTCGTAACATCCAGAGAACCAGGTTTGGTGCTCCTACCGCCTATGGAACAGCCCGAGCCTGTCACCTGGACGGGGCCTGAGCAAGTCCCTGTAGACACCTTCAGCTGGGACCTCCCCATCAAGGTGCTGCCTACAAGCCCGACCCTGGCCTCGTATGCAGCCCCAGGCCCCAGCACCAGCACCATAACCATCTGAAACTGGCTCACCGCAGCACTACTTTTACTTTCTTCAGGCTACTGAGGACTCAACACCTGGACCCTACTAGGGCCCAATGTTTTTCCACCTGGGGCCCAATGGCATGGACAATGAGAAGCAGGCTTCCAGCTGTAGCATTAATTTATTTATTCAGAATAAATTGGCAGCTGCTAGTGGTTTCCCTGGAAGTGGCAGCAGCAGTGGCAGTCAGCAGAAGGGGGATCAGTTCGGTTTAGCTGGAGTGGGGAGCAGGAGCCCCAGGAACAGGGGTGTTAGCTGAGCCCCACTCTGGGTCAGGCCCTCCCCCTTTGCAGGGCAGCCGAGGGTCAGATTTTTGCACCAGGGAGAACTGGCAGGTTCCTGCCTCCTGTCGTACCTCACACTCAGCGGGGAAGTCGATGGGATGCTGGGACCTGGGGAACCAAAGGGTGGGGAAGGAGTCAGCACAGTGAAGGGCTACCTTTATTCCCTCCCCACAGTCCCTCTCTTCCAGCGTTCCTCCCCTGTCTCCCCTTAGTGCCCTCTTGGCCCCCTAGCTAAATTCTCACCTACCATAGATGGATTTTTTCTGTTTCATAGCAGAGTATTTTTTCCTCTACATCCGCCCCTACCTCACTTTGTAGCCTGAAGCTGGCTCTCTCACACTCTTACTGCTTCCTTCAGGTTCGGCCAGCCTCATACTGCTGTGCTATTCTTACTTTGTTCATTCTAACATGACAGCAATCTAGTCACGCCTTGGCCACCATCTCTCATTCTCTGGCCGTTTTTGGTCACTCACGTGTCACAGCAGCCCACACCGACAGGATGCAGACAGGTGCAATGGAAACAGTCCTTGCGGAGCCAAGACTCACCCAGGGTAAAATACTTTCCTTCATAGTGGCAGGGGGCTAGGGAAGAACAGGAAATGTTAATGTGCAGGGGAGTGGTGGCGGCAGACGGAACCACCCTGGAGTAGGAGAGAGTTCCGTGCACACTCCCCCCACACTTAGTCTCTCCTGTTTCTGAGCTGGAGGGAGTCTGGGCATTCCTCACCCAGGATCACCTTTAAGCCCCCCTCCTCCCAGGGGATGCCCTGTGCTCCTTGCACCTTCCTAATGCCTCACCCAGCTTTACCTTGAGCTTGGAAGTAGCATTTGCTGTGGACTCCTGGGTGCTGGAGGAGCAGAGATATCACCAAGCAGATGAGCCCCCAGCCTCTCAGGATCCCCTTAGTCTGTCCAGCCCAGAGCATTCTTAGGGCCATTCCTGTAGCACAGCCCTTGCGGACCCTCCTTGGCTTCTGGTCACGCTACTCTGGTCTTGTCTCCTTGGCTTTTCTTTGTTCTCTCCTTGAGTCTAAGTTTCTGTCTTTTCCCCTGGGCGCCTGCCTCACACCATCTCCTGCCCTCTGCTCTCACAGGCTTGGAGATGTTTATAAAGTGAGGACCCTGGCCCCCTGCTGAGTAGAGCTGGAAAAGCTGTAACTCTGTTTCCTGGGGTGAGGGCATGAAAACAAGAGGTCCAACTTTAACAAGCTGTGAGAGCTGATTCATGCTCCTGCACAGCTAGGGGGAGGGAGGTGGCCATGGAAGGGGCACTGGACTGGGCACTTCCCCAGCCAGGAGGTGGGAGGGGTGAGGGCCCCCAGGTGGTCCCCAGATCTCTTCTCTGACCTGGAGAGGAGGAAGCATTCCACCTCCCCGCCCTCCCCCCATCCCACAACACCGCACAGCCTCTCTCCAGGGGTGGATATGCTGGGATCCTTGCCTGGACCGGAGGGAGGCATTTCCTGGGGATGGCTAATCCTGTGCCCCAGCCAAACCGAGGAGCTGCTGTAGGGTGCGACAGCCAGAGGCTCCAGGAGAGCGAACAGGCACCTGGAGTGGAGAATGTTTCTCTCCCACCATAGGGCAGGGTCTCCCTGCAGTATTTTAGAGACATGGCTGCCCCTGAGATGGGTGGGATGTCTTTTCCACAGTCACCCAGGGAGGGACTCGCCATTGTTCATCACCCAAACACAGAGCGGATACACAATCTCCCTGTATCTAGGATGGTTCTTTTAAAGAGGAATATCTCTAACGGTATGAGTTACTCCAGTTTCCCAGAGGCACCCCACTTTCCTGTACATTATGGAAGGAGGATTTAGGAATTTATGCTTTGACGTCCTCTTGGGTTTCCTGCAGGTTCTGGGGGAACCCCAAGATGGGTGATTAAGAGCAGACGTTGCATCAGATCCTTAGGAACTGTGTGACTTTGGGCAAGTTTCTCTCTCTGAACCTGTTTGCTTATCAATAAGTTGGGATAGTAATACTCAGGGTTGTTAAGAGGATTGAATGAGATAACGCATGTCATCTGTCCCTAACACATTGCCCTTAGAAAATAGCAGGTACTGTGGTTAGTGCCAGAGCTCAAGAGACAGAATGGGTAGACATTCCTTTTAACGACACTGAGCTTCTGTTAGCCCCTGGTTTAGACGTCTATCCCTTTCACACTTAATGCTCCATGTCATCCCTACCACCTCCTTCAAAAGCTATTCGGTTTCGGGGAGCATTGGGAATCCAGGAACATTTTGATTTTGGCCCTTGTATCCTTGAAATTCTAAATGTTTGGTTTGAGAAAACTGTTGCTGATCAAACTACTTTCACGAAGCCAGTACCCTCACTTCTACCCTGGGAAGAGGAATTTTCTTATCACCCTGCCAGCTTGCTTTAGGACTCCTGCTTTCTCTTGTGGGTTTTGATCCATGTCTTCCCATCCTCACTCTTGTAAGCGCGTAAGTTCCCCTTTCGGATCTCCCGAATGCTGGCCACCTCTGGCACTCATGGCCCCAGGCTAAACTGGGTTTCTTTCATTTTCCCACATTCCAGGAGTGCCCCTGTTCCAGGTAGTCCCCTCCTACCTACAGGGCCAATCACTTTGGCATGCACTTTATTTTTCCTTCTAGGTCTCCAGTCCCATTTTCTCCAAGCCCTGGCCAGTGTGGCTCAGTTGGGTGGAGAGTCATTCTGCAGACCAGAAGTTCGCGGGTTCAGTGCCCATCAGGGCATAGATGAGGTACCCAGGTTGTGGGTTTGATCCTGAGTCAGGGCACATACAAGAAGGCAACCAATTGATGTTTCTCTCTCATCTCTCCCTGCCCCTTCCCCCTCCCCTTTCCTCTCTCAAAAGCAATGAAAAAAAATATCCTCGGGTAAGGATTTTTTAAAAACCCACTTCCTCCAAGACTCCCACTCCATGCCATCCAGCAGATGGGGTACAACTACTCAGAGGGCTGACTTGTAGTGCCACCCTACCCCTCACCTCTTCACTCTTCAGAAACAACTCATCAGTCCACCTCAAACTCCCTATCCGTTCTCTTCCAAGGAGACCGCTCAAGTGGAATGAGGTACAGACTGCCACACACTCATTCTAGTCAGGTCCGTGTGTGCCAAGAGATAGCAAACAATCACAGCTGAAGCGGGGTTCCCTGATGTAGGCTGACGTGGGGGAGGCATGTCTTGCACTGCTCTGGGCTGGAGCAGGTGGGCTGGAAGGCCTGCCTACCACGAGGGCTCAGGAGCCGTGTCCGTGGTCAGCAGCTCTGCAGATGCATTTCGGCATGGGGGACACAGGCTGGCACCCTCGAAGTCTGGACCATAAGGCCACCTTCTGCTCCCGCAACCTGGCACCCCGAAGTCTGGACAAGAGTGGGGAGCTAGAGAGCGTGAAGGTGGTTGGTGGTGCTGCCGGAAGGCAACGGGGGCCCACTGGAGACTGGGATCGGTGTGAGGTAACGGGGACAGGAGAGCTGTCTGTAATGATGATGAAGTAGGAGCAGGGGTCTCCTGAGAAGAAAGGTCGGGGCTGAGCCAAACTCCGTCTCCCAGAAGTTGTGGAGCGGCGGGGAGGTATTGGTAGAACCCACCTGCATGCCCGTTGGTGTGCGCGCGCGCATCTATGTAGCTTTTGGGGGCTGGAGGCCAAGGTTCAGAGTGTGTGTGTGGTGGAGTGTCAGTGGTTAGGGCTCAACCTCATGATTCCTGGGGCCTTGGAGATGCCAGTTGCGGGGGCCGCATCGTTTGGCGCAGGGGCGGTTGGCACGCGCCGCCCGCGCGGGGACAGAAAACATCCGCCGGAGGCCCGGCCGGGCAGCGCTCCAGCAGCGCCGGGCAGGTGCGCGCGGCGAGGAAGTGAGCGCATTCCGGCCCCCAGCCGCCGGCCCGCCCTCCGGTGAGTCACCGCTGACCCCCACCGCCTTGGCCGGATAGGAGGGATTGGCTGCGGCCGAGGGGGGATTTGGAGGACCGGAGCTCCAGAGGGGTAGTCGGGCGCGCTGGGGGGAGCACCGGGAGGGTGGTGAAAACCCCCGAGAGAGTCAGGGGTGAAGAGACTGAGCGGGCCGGTCCAGGTCCTGGTTTCACCCCAGGTGGGAAAGTTCTAATAGAGGCCCAATGCAGACCTGAATGTAGGAGGCAGGAGCGAGGCCCTGGGAAACATCGTGGAACAGGGAGAAGGCCTTCGCGTGGGGAGGGCAAGGGGCCCGAACAAAACGGGGGTCCGAGCCCGGGAGGCCCAGAAGGGGAGGGAGGGTTGCGGGGCTCTGGAGATAGCACACCTGCGACTGGCAGCCTGCGAGACGGCCCCTCGCCAGTGCAGGCCTCGGCCAGCCGGAGCCTGGAGGTGGAAGGAGTCGTGCATGGCAGGCAGGAAAGTGGGGATGGCCAACCCCTCGAGATAAGCTCAGTCCAGACGCCTGTGCACTGGGAGAGTCAAGAGCAGGGAGCAGAGGGGCTAGGGTTATTTGGGTACAGTTGTGGCAAGGTGATCAAAGGCTTTGAATACCGGTATGAGGAATTCAGATTCGGTCTCTGAGCAGAAGTGGCTCAAAGGCAAGGTTATCTGTGTCTGGCATTACTGCCTTCCATTCAATCTGTCAAAAAACGAGACTTTGATTTACTAATTTTTATAGTCATTTAAAATTGCATGACCACATTTATCTAATGGTTTAATTCCTTTGAATTTTTAAAAAGAAAAATAGAAAAATCTGATTCAGTGTTTGATTTAAAATCCAAAGTGAGGCTACCAAGATTAGTTATACGGCGTTGTCTTCTCTTTTGTCTTGCCTCCATTTTTCCATCACTGATTTGACTGAATTGAGTGCTGTTAATGTCTCCGCTTTCTCTGTCAGTAGCCTAGCACTTCTAGTCTCCCTCTTCCTCATATTATGGTCTTTATTTTTAAGCTTAATTTTTTTTTTTCTGTGCAGCCCTTTAACCTGCTCTATGTATACTGAACCAAGTAAAACATTTTTTGGGGGATGGAGGCATTGGGCCACAGTATACAAAGACAGTAACAGTTTTACCATATACGTTAGGTTACTTACTATCTTCTGTGGATTTGTATGTATCTGCAAAGTTTCTGTATTTACGCTGTGACTCAGAAAGAGAGAAAGTGAAAGCTGTTTTATTCATGATAGTATTTCTACAATATAGCAATTTATAAGTCCAATTTCTCTTCTAAAATCAACTCTAAAATGGTATTTGCTACTTGTCTCAGAAACTCACTCTAATTCTCTTATGATCTTTATAATTTATATTATCTTGGGCCAACGGCAATTACAAGGATTAGGATCTTTATAATTTATTTTAAAGATCCTTAAACCCCACAGTTGCCTTTGGCCCCAAACAAGAAAATCTGGGTCAGTTAATTAAAAAAAAAATTACTACTTTGGACCCAGTTGCTTTCTCCTGTGCTGTTTCAGCTCCAGCCCTGCCTTATTCCCAGTGGCCTTTGCCTTCATTCCTTCTTTGCTCTGCTGGGCATCTCTAGAGGAAAACTTCACACCAACTTCCTCTACTATAAATTCTCCCTCCCCTCAACTCTACACTTCTCTTTGCCAACATACACCACTGCTTCTTCATTGATTTTTTTTTTTTTTTTAAGCTCACAGATTTTGCTGGCTCTTTCCCATCTCTAACACTCTCTTGTTGAAATCTTTTTTTTTCTCCTTTCTCTTTGGGAAGATCTCAGATTTTATAAAGGTTATGCTTTATTTATTCTACATGATCCACTTCTGTCTTCTTTCCTTTTCTATCAACTTTTTCTTATTCTGGACTGTTTGTGAGTTCTATTGTGCTTGCTTTCACCAAAGCTTCCAACTGTCTCTTTGGGATTAAACATTCTTCCTCTAGACATAGCAAAAGATGCTTATGTTTTCATTATTTTTCCTACAAGAAAAAAACTTTTCAAGTTCATATCTACTTAGTCTCTTCTTCCCACATTCTG